GAAAGCAGATAGGCTTGCCTTTGCCACTGCTGCAAAGTCATGCAGCAACAGAGGCAGTTGCCACTGCTCTTCCCTTTTGCCTTTGCTCTTTGCTGTTTTCCACCACCATGAAGTGCTGCCCTCTGCCATGTGGCACTCTGTCTTGGAGCCAGCCAAGTATGGACTGAAACCTCTGCAAACTGAGCTAAATCAACCTTTCTTTCCTTAATTTGGGGTGTCGGGTATTTTGTCCCAGCAAGGAGAGCAAAGTAAATGAGACATGGCTCAGTAATTTTCCATGGAGTTTAATATAGTTTGAGTTAACATTGACTCCAGGAGTCCCAGTGAAGAGTTCCTCTACTTAAGCATTTCTTCCACTTCAGCCTCTTCTGTAACTGGGACTACAGGCATGGGCCACGATTCCTGGCCAGGCCAAGGGAAGCGGGGAAGGGGAAGCTGCCTTGCTGTTACATAGCAGAGTCTTCTGGCCTGCAGCGGCCGCCTTATTTCCCCTGGCACAGATCCTGCACTGCGATCACTGCCTCTGTTGCCGCCTGGAAATGACTGTGCCACTGTCTTGGGCACCTTTTCTCCATCTCTAGAAAAATCTGGAGCTATGGGCTAAGAAAAAGTCTCTCCACAAGTCTCATTAGTATATTGTGTTTGCTGAACCATCATTGGGAAACCACCAGGTTCATGAGCATCTCTTTATATAGTTGCCTTCTTTACAGCCTATTGATATTTAGGCATATAGGGTTCAGAATGTTTTATCTTTAATCTGGAGTAGCAGACTGAGAATTTTGTTTAAAATTCTCGCCTGGATCAGTTTTCCCCCAGGTGCCAGTGACACAGTGAGGAATTTTTTTTTCTTTTCTGTGTATTTTTCTCCCTTGTCCTATTCTAAAATAGAAACTTGGAGCATACTAGTACTTAACAGGTCTAAAACAGATTTTTCTAAGCTCCAAACTGACAAACTGAGAAGGTCTTGGGAGGAACATTTTCTCCTTTGCCATTAGCTCTTTTAAAAATTCTATTTTCCTTTTTTTTTTTTTTTCCCCACCTTGACCCAATTTTAAATATTCAGAGTTCCCACCTGCAGGATCCATGGATTGTGCTTACTTATTTCCTGGAGTATTTTAGTGATACTACTAGCTGGCACTGTATTTTGCCTTTAAGAGATTTAAAGAAAGATTATAAAGATGTTTCAAAGAAGAGGCATGGGTTTCAAAGAAAGAGATAAATGGCCCATGAGATACCACAGTGGACAAGCCAGGGATGGAGTTTGATCCGCAGCCCCACATGCTGAGCTGGCCCTGCCCTCCAGCATGCTGAGCCAGCGACTGAGACCGGGCGTGGCAGAGGACGCCTGTAGTTCTAGCGCTGGGGAAGCTGAAAACTGGAGGACCAGTATGAGTCTGAACTGCATAGTGAGACCCTGTACCAAATGCATTTTTTTTTTAAAAAAGATGTTAAAGTAAGAGATTACCCATTTCAATCCCAGTGAAATTCCTACTTGCATTAAAAACACTGATTTTAGCTCTGGAGTCATCACATGAGAACCAAACACCATTGAAACATTCCTAGTAAGTCTGCCAGGCAGGCAAGAGTGCCAGGGATTCAGGCCACAGTAGATGCCAGTTATTGGAGACCCCTGCAGTGAGCCCCAGTTTCCTGCCAGGTGTTACTGTGCCTGGTGGAAAAAAAGACCAAGAGATTAAATGGTGCAGAGGTGGACCTGCACCAACAGTTGTTCACAAGGAACAAAAAGTCATGAGGAGCCAGAGCCTTGGCATTTAATCTAGTCCTAGTCTTAATGATTTTACTCTTAGGTAGGGGAGGATGACCTACTCCTAATGGGGGAATGGGAACTCTCTGAAAGGAGACACCAATCATCCCAAGCCTCTGTTCATCCCTCAGGGAAATATATAAAACTAGCCATTGTGAATTTTTGGTCTTCAGCCATGATTGTAGTCTATATATTTGAATAGTTCAGTAGGATATATTAATATATTTGGATAAAGGTAGGGACAAATTTAAATTTTTCTAGGCCTGGTTTCGGGAATGAAAATGTTTTCTTTTCAGTAGGAAAGGAAAATTTGATAGGTAGCACAGAAACAAAGTTTTATCTAAACAAAAATGGTGTGTTTTTGGTGGTGCTGGCAATTG